CACCCTCCAAATCCCCTGCCAGAGCGATGAGGGGACCTGGCAACCCTAGGTCTATCTTGTCAAATACTCTACCTGCCTGCCCTCATAAGGGCCATCAAGACAGCTAATAAATTAAAACCATATTTTAAAAGCCATTAAAACCAACAAACCCCCCCAAATAATCAAAATAATTAAAACCAGGACTAAATACATGCAAACACATAAAAGCAACAATTAAAACATGACTGGAAGGAGATATCACCAAACCAAAAAAAAATCTTCATCATGTGACAGAAGATGGCAGTAGAAGGGTATAAAAATGGCTTGCCAATGCTTGGTTTCAAAACACTGTATTTTTAGACTGGGTGATTTGCAGAGCCTAGAAGACGTCTTGCAGGAGACTCATGGAACCACAAGAGAGCCTGATAGGTCAGGGATGGAGATAACTAATGGATCCAATGACTGCATTCAGTAAATCTGAATAGAAAAACTACTGCCTTATTTAAGTGGAAAAGGACGTTCTCTGATGGAGACTCCAATCCACTGATTTTTCAGACTCTGATCCTGGTTACAGTAATAGTCCATCAGAAACCCTAACAGAAGCCCACAAACTATATGGAATATATCATTGACAGTTAATTGACAGGCTTTGAAAGCAGTGTCTCTGGAATATCAATTGGATAAAGTGTCATTAAAGAATACAGATTTATAATTGGCATGTGCTAACATAAACAGTGCCTAAAAGATCTATTTCACATATATTCAAATAACTTAAGGAATAGCTATGAAATTTGAGTAGGCCAAAAGTAACCACACTTTCTGGGGTATGTTATGGCATACATCATCATAGATTCTATATTGTTAAATCCAAGTTCAGTTGAACTGTTTGTATGGATCAGTATACTGATCAGTATATTGTCAGTATATTGTTCATAGCATTAAATAGTTAGATGTTGCTTAATCAGACAATCTTTTTAAAAGGATGAACTGAAAATTGTAGAACATCTCTTGTTAGACCTGTCCTTAAATGGCTTGTCAAATTTGAATTATAATTTTATAGCACTAGTAATTGTGCCCCTCCCCCGATGTCATTTAATTAGCTTGCAGAAGTACTATGTGGCTCTGAGAACTATATTTGTTCTCTCTCTTTCTTTGAGGCACTGTAAGCTGATGGATTCTGGACTTATTTTATGGCAGGTCATTGAACTGGATGATCTGTTCTAAGTTTCTACGATATGTTTTGGTGTTTCTGATCTTATTCTCACACTCATGGCACATAAGGGTGTTGTTGACAACTAGGTGGGAGAGTAGATTCTTAACTGAGGAACCCACTGCCTGAGCCCCTGTGCCTGGCTGTAGCAGAGGGACAGGAGGTGGCTCAGAGCCCTGAGACCACCAGACACCTCCCCAGCCAGGGAAAGGTGTCCAAAAATCCCACTGAGGGGGAGTGTGGGGTCTCAGCTGAGGCATCAGTCGCTTGAGCAGAAAATCCCACTAAGGGGGAAGTATGTGGGTCCTCAGGCAAGGAACCCACTGGGCTGAGCCCCTCTGCCTGGCTGTAGCAGAGAAACAGGCACCTCAGAGCCCTGAAGCACCAACACTGTTGTTCACAATCACAGCCTTGTTCCAATTCCTTCCCTAGTCTCTGCCTCTAAACAGTTACTACCTCTGTCCCTAACTGCCTGATGCAAAGTGAAAGCAGCTGAGTCATGAGCTGGAGTATATGTCCCTTTTGTTTACGTCGAGCAGAATGGATGTTCTCTGGTTGGCAGCCAGAGCTGCCTGTCAAGCTTTGGTGGGCCAGGATTGGTGTTTCCAGGGGTCCAGAAGGGATGCAGAAGTCCATCCCTCCTGTTGCCTTGACAATTGATTCATTGGTGCCAGCATGTCTGGCCCACAAACCAATCCCATTAACTGCACAAACCTCCATGAAAATTGGTTTGGTTCATGGGAGATGTGATTGCATGAACCATGGTTCATGAACCACAAACTGGGCCAGTTCATGACAAATTTAGGTTCATGAGCCGGTTCGTGCCGAGCCCTATTCTCTAACCTTTCCAAAATAAAGAGTAATTTTGGCCACTGTTAGTTGACTTTTCATGAAGCTTTAAGGTTTAGAAAGAAAGCAAAGGCCAGATTTGCCCTCCTTATGTTTGAACTTTCTCTCAGCACTTTTGATTGTGATATTAATGGCTAAGAAGTAACTAAAACAAATCTGTGCCATCGGCAGATTTAGAGTACATATAATGGGCACTGTATACTATGAGGTTTTTTCAGCATGTATCTATAACTAAGTTTAAATCTGTTGTATAGTAAAGGAGAGCTGTTCCCATTTGTTGGGAAAAGCCATGAATTAAGACATATATAGTAGAAAGTAAAGTACAGGTAAAGTCCACTTTTGTAGAAGAATTGTTAATAGACAGCTAAATTTTTGACATGCAATATTACGCTCTTATGGCTAAACATCTCAGCCTGCTTTTGAATGAGCGGTGTGTTTCCTGTGACTAATTGTGTTTAACACTCCATCATTTCCCTACTTAGAACTGTACCTGCTGCCCCCCTTCAATATGTCATACTGTTGGTGTCTGTTGCTGTGATGTGCAGTCTTAACAAATACGAATTTCTTGTACACAACTGTAATGCACATTCATTTATATGAAGCATTATTAGCTTAACATCATTAATAAAGGTAGCAGCCAATTATCTGATTTGTTCTATGTAGATTGGGGTTTGGAACTCAAACAGTGGCCTTAATATGACAGACAGCAATAAAGACAGATCTACCAATATTACTGATTCGCTGGCGAACCGAACCCTCATAGTCACCACAATTTTGGTAAGTTCTGGTAAATTTTGTTGTTATTCATCAAGGATTACTTTTGCTTTATTTAGGTTGTTTTGCTTACAGTGCAATCCTAAATAGAATTACACACTTGTAAGTCCTCTCAAGCAGGGCTCTTTTTGTAGCAGGAACTCCTTTGCATATTATGCAACACACCCCTAATGTAGCCAATCGTCCAAGAGCTTACAGTAGCCCCTGTAAGAAGAGCTCTGTAAGCTCTTGGAGGATTGGCTACATTAGGGGTGTGTCTCCTAATATGCAAAGGAGTTCCTGCTACAGAAAGAGCCCTGCCAAGTCTTAGGGCCATGTAACTTTCTGCACTGTTATATTCCCAAACTGGAATTTTGCAACACTGACAACAATACATATGAAAAATAGTTAATCATCAATGGGAGGAAGGGGAAATTGTAAGTGATATTTAAAAACAAACTTAATGGCATAAATATATTAACAGTGCAATCTGAGAAGAGTACAGCCTTCTAAAAGCCCATTGACATTAGTGGACTTAGAAGTGGCTTTATTTGCAACTATAGCCCATACATAGGATGGCTCATATATGAAGCAACTCCCTCCGTGATATACTGAAGAGATCATTTGTATGAGGCTTGTATAGAGGTGCATTTGTTTGCATTGCTTGCATATGGAGAAGTATGCATAGATTCTCAGGGCCAAACTAGATGTGATGGCATCCCTGGGTCCCACCTAACCCAGGTGATTTAAAGCCTAAAGCCTAACACAGGTGATTTAAAAATGAACATAAGAACATAAGAGAAACCATGTTGGATCTGGCCAGTTGCCTACCCAGTCCAACACTCTGTGTCACAGAGTGGCCAATGAGGGCCTGCAGCGCAGTGGGTGAAATACTTTTGTTCCCCTTCCCATATGACTTTTCAAGCGCTGAAATGGCCACCATTACAGCACTGAAAAGGCATGAGTAGGGAACAAGAGTGCCTTGTCCCACTGTGCTGCAGGTCCAATCAGGATCAGTCATGGTGGCATTGCTAAATTAGCTGTTTTAGGCTTTAACCCAGAGATGCCGTCATGTCTAGTTTGGCCCTCAGTTCCTACGACCCGGAAAAGTGCTGATAAATCACAGGATTAGAGACTGCAAGGCATCCACTATCCTTAGGGAGGTCTCAGTTCACACCAGAGGTGTCTTTACACAATGCCAATCCAGCAGCAGCCCTGCACCCTCCCAGACTGTACTCGGTTTAGATTAAAGCCACTGCGTTTTAACAAATACCATGTCAGACCATTCATTTTTGAGCTGTCTAACTAGACTACACGTACATGATTCCAATATTTTTAGCCAATTTCACTGTTTAGTTTGAACCAAACACAGTTTAAAATAATAGAAACAGACAGTGGTGAACTGTGCTCAGCTCTGCTTGAAAGCAGTGTTTGGGTGAACAGAAAGAAGAAGAGCTTGTTTAGTTATCCAGTGGGGTGTACACAAGTGTGTGCAAACCAATATCATCTGGATTTTTTTCTCGCACAGCTCCATCTAGCTTTTGTCCTCACAATACATTTTTGAAACATACTAATCAATTACCTGAACATGGATTCTGTAGTCTATCGCACCTGTCACCTCTTGCTTTCAAAGTGTCACATGTACATTTATTCCATTAAATGTATATTCTTCTGCTTCAAGAAGGTGGCTTAGTTTGTAGCTGTTAAACTCAGAAACAATTTTTTCCCTAAGCATGACATGGAAGTGTAGATTATATGGTTAAACAAATTGTAAGTATGCTTCTATAGCAGGCTTGCTGCTCAAATTATGTACATCTGTGTATGCCATGGAGGATCATGCCCCCAAAAGCATCAGTGCAGGTCTTTGAGATGTGATGAATCATAATCACTGCATCTAAGCAAACTTTCTGCTAAACTTTAGCTTCAGGTTCCTAGCTAGTGGTAACATTCTGTACAGGAAAAGATGGTGAAGATACACACACACAAACACACATTTAAATTGCTTTTATACCTTGAAAGCACCCTAGTTTTGTCCTAGTTGTTAATTTTTATTTAAAATTAGGCAGTATTTTTTTACATACTGTTAAAGATACCTGATAGTTTTGTGGTGTATAATCTTCATTCTCCTTATAGAGACAATTTAATCCAACCACAGTTTTTAATCTAAACATCAGTACAATTTTAGGAGACAATTTGTCTTTACTTGTGGTTTATTAAGCTGAAATACAAAATTAATAATTCTGAATGTCTACTATCTTTTCATATAGGAAGATCCCTATGTCATGTACAAGAAATCTGATAAACCCCTTTATGGAAATGACAGATTTGAAGGGTACTGTCTGGATTTGTTGAAGGAGCTATCAAATATTTTAGGCTTCATTTATGAAGTGAAATTAGTGTCTGATGGTAAATATGGAGCCCAGAATGACAAAGGAGAATGGAATGGGATGGTCAAAGAACTCATAGATCATGTAAGATTAAATTATTTTTATTCTACTCATTATGCAATAATTTAATACAATCATTTGTTTATTTGTTTGGTTGTTTGGACATAATATCTCATCCTTCCAATATGCTTGGGCAGTGAACAGTAGAAATTTTAAGCAGAAAAAAATATTTACATTTCAAGATAAAATACAAAGGGCTAAAATTCACCTTACAATAAGACAGCTAGAACATTTTCCCACAGAGCCACAGGGAAAGCCCAATTTCTGGTCATAGCCAAATAGACTCCCTGTGATGGAGGGATAAATACTTATTTAGAGACATTACATCTATGTCTTCTCTTCTGGGAATAATAATAATAAAGTCACCAGCTCATGCCTGAACTGTACACTTGTATATCTTATTTGAAAGTCACCCAGTGGAATAAATCAAACTGTGCTAGTAGAAGGCAGAACGTCACAGGAAGTGACACACGACGTAGAGCACGTTGGGGGCGTGGACCCAATCGTTGGAGGGAAAACCAACGTGCTCTGCGTGGTTGCGTCACTTCCTGTGACGCACTCACGCTGCACTTCGGGGGGCGGGGTTCACAGGAAGTGACGCACGGCGTAGAGCACGTTAGGGGCGTGGCCCCAATCATAGAGTTTTCCCTCCAACGATTGGGGCCACACCCCCAACGTGCTTGACGTGGTTGCGCCACTTCCTGTGATGCACCCACGCTGCGCTTCGGGGGGCGGGGTTCACAGGAAGTGATGCACGACGTAGAGCACATTGGGGGCATGGCCCCAATCGTTGGAGGGAAAACCATAGAGTTTTCCCTCCAACGATTGGGGCCACGCCCCCAACGTGCTCGACATGGTTGCATCACCCACGCTGCGCTTCGGGGGGTGGGGTTCCCCCCAGGGCCCGATTCCGCAGCGGCAGAAATCGGGCCTCCAAAGCGGGGGTTTACCCGCCCCCCGCCCCCACTTGGTAGCCCTACAGCGATGGCCCAACAGCAGTTTTTAAAATTTTCTCCCACTGCCTCTCTGAACCAAAACAAAAAGGCAGGCACCAACCAAAGCAAAAAGGCAGGAAACATGGGGTGAGGGACATCAGTGACAGTGGGGTCACTTCCAGGGAAACCCAGAAGTGACATTGTGCATCTCTAGGAATTTCCAGACATGAAATATCTTCACCCACTGATGGAAGATAATGACAGAGGAGCACAAGAAGATCTCCCTGGGGAGGGAATTCTGCAGTTTTGGTTCCCCAAGCAAGACTGGGTTGCTACATATCTAACGTAGATGACACCCCTGAAGCAAAGCCCCTCCGCAAAGATTGCAGTAACAGTTAGTAGGTTCATATGGGAATAGACGGTCCTTCTGGTATGCTGGTTCCAAGCCATACAAGACTTTAAATGTCAATACTAGTATCTTGGGTTGAGCCTGGAAGCAAATTGAAAGCCAGTGTAGATGTAACAAGACTGTCCTTGAAGCCATGTCACCATGCTTGAGAAAGTGGAAGCATAAACTGTTATGTGAATGACTGTTAATGAAAATATTTATTTCAACTTTGTGTTTCCAGAAAGCTGACCTGGCAGTTGCTCCTCTTACAATTACCTATGTAAGAGAGAAAGTAATCGACTTTTCAAAGCCCTTCATGACGCTGGGAATCAGTATTTTGTACCGGAAGCCCAATGGCACAAACCCTGGTGTTTTCTCCTTTCTAAACCCTCTTTCTCCTGATATTTGGATGTATGTCCTCCTAGCTTGCCTTGGAGTCAGTTGTGTGCTCTTTGTAATTGCAAGGTAGGTTCAAAGGTCACATCTATGAGCTCACCACATTATTTCTTTACTTAATGTTTTGTAGTGGTCATGTAAATTATTCTTGTCCCAGAAATAAAATAGATATTATATTTTGAGTACAATCCTTTGCTATAATATTGTGATCTACAGATAATCATTATTGTGAATACAGATAAAAGGTAAGGACATTTATCAAATACTTATGGTTTGTTCAGTTAAGGGATAATCACCATTCTAAGAAAAGATGCTTTAGAATACTGTAAGTGTATTTTATGGTTAAAGACTCATTTTCTTAGCACACCTGGCTTAAATATCCCAAGTAATGAGGACAATACAAAAATGATTATTTGTATTGCCATTATTTAATAAAATGTATATTGAATGCCCTTGACCACATATCATAAAAACCCTTACCTGGACCTGTGCTCCTTTGATCATTGCACAAAATTTTTACCAACATACACCTATAGGTGAAAGGTTTGAGAATCATTCATAGTTTGGTAATAACTCATTTTAATTCAACCAATGTAATTTTCAAAGAACAAACTGTACTTTTTAAACATATAAAAGTGTGTGCTTCTGTTTCATAAACCAAAATGAAAGAACAGTTTAAGCAACATCTCTTAAAAGATTATTCTACTTCGGGTTCTTTTGGTGACATGGAAAGAGACCGACAGACAGATGGTGAAATAATGATGCTGTTTCCATGAGGATCTTATACAATTCTGAAATGGGTACAGTTATAAATTCTCACAAGATCTGGTTGTTCATAGATTGTGATTGTATACATTACCATCAATGACAGATTATTTTTCCCCCCGTGTAATGAACCAACAATGAAACTGTCTTCATCTGCGTTCAAGAGGAAGATGAAGTAGCTTACAACTGCTTCTTTTCCCTGTAAGGGCAGGAATATATAATGCCATCACTTAACCTGTAGCTCTGAAATAGATGTTAATTTCCAAAGGTTTATGTATCCACTGAGCTGTAATGGGTGACTTATAGGTTGGTCAGCTTTCTGTACTGCCAAAGCTTAACTGCTATCAGACCACAAATAATTTGCTAGGTGTAGCGTTTCCTACCTCGGAGCTGAGATGATGTGGAAAGCTTTACCAGCTTATTTCTGTGAGGCACAGTGGTCTTAAAGGCAAAGTATAAGTATTCTCACATACTTATTTTAGGGCAAGTGATGTGCACTTATTTCAGACTTTTGATTTTGTTTTAAACAAAATGGAACAGTCTAATTGTTTCTCCAAACTAATTTTCATCTTCCAGCAATGTGCTTCTGTTGTTGCCCTCTGTTGATGAGATCAGGACCATTTCTGCAGTAGTGACATTCCCTGCATTGACATTTTTAAAGTGAAAATTTCCACTGTAGATTTTTTTCTCACCAGGCCCAAACCTGAAGTTTTCCTCCTTCTTACCCCACATTTTTGAAACTTGCTAAAACTGGAGATTTTGAAAATGCAAGGTAAGAAGGAGACTATTTCGGGTTTGGGCCTGGTGAAGAAAAATCTACTGCAGAAAATTTCACATAATGAGCAGTTTTAAAAGCATCAATGTGGAGAATTTCACTACTGAAGAAATAGTCCATTTGTCACAGATCTTTGTGTTTATTTGTACTCTAGACAAAACATTTTCCACTTTGATTATGTAGTAGTGCCAGTATAAATGAAAGGTAATTTATTTTTAATAATTATGGGAATTTAAATATTCAGAAGTTTTTTAATGAACATTTGTCATGAAAGATTTTTGTTGGTTTTGTTTAAAGAAAGATATCACTTTTAGCAATGTATTTATAGAAGTTTTGTGGAACAAAATGTTTCACATTAATCTAAATTATCCTTGGAAACCATTAGTAATCCTAAAAACATTTTGTCCAATTTAACAAGATGATATCTGTATGATTACATTTGTTTCATTTGCAAACAATGTGGTATATCTCTTATGTAGCACTATCATGGATTTATTTAAGAATGTGAAGAAATAAAAATTTTAAAAAGAGTAAATGCATCATCAATGGGACTGATCAGGTTTTATAAAGATCATCAGCACTTCCCTAGAGAACATAATGCATGAGGCTAAACTGAAAGTTTTTAGACATCATGCCTTTAATATTGGCAGATTATATTTATACCCACACACAGTGGACCACCCTTTTATTTACACAATACTGTGAAACACACAGGTTGAAACGGAGTGACTGGCCCAAAGTCAGACACCCAGTGTGCTTCATGTCTGAATGGGGAGCTGATCCTGAATGGAGAGTTTCTCCATAAATCTAGTCTAATATTCTTACTACTAACCTGCACTAGCATTCAATTCAACATCAAGTGTTAATAGGTTAGACTCTGCAGTTGAGCCCTGAACTATAAGCAGAAAATGTAATCCTGCTGCCTGCAATCTGAACATAGTTTCACTATGACATATTCTTGATGCTTCAAAAAGGAGTTATGTATGCATGACTTTGTGCCTGGCTGCAGCCATTGACTTTTGTGGAACTAGAATGTAATCCAGTTTGATTTGTTTCTTTCACAGCAGCTCCTGCATAATGTGGTAAAAGCCTCAGGCTCACACTGAGGTGAAGGTGAATTGGATTAGATTCTGAGTGCTGGTTGCTCTCAATATTTCAAGCTTGTTTATTGTCTCTTATTCTTTGTTAATTTGCTAATGTTTACCTTAATCATATAACAATGGATTCTGTGCATTTTGTAAACCACAATGCTTCCAAGGATTTGTATCTGAAAGGAAAGGAAAGCTGAAGTAGTGAACTTTCCAAGTAAAATGCAGAGCTGATCTATGGGAAGCAGAAGATTAATTTGGAAAGTTTTATTAATCCAGTCTTAGCTCCAGTCAAAATGGGCTTGACCCAGAACCAAGGTCCAATCAATGAGATTTGCCAAATGCATCATCTTCCTCCTGTAGATGATCTCCAGGGTTCCCTGGAAATGCAATAGAGTTAGAAAGTATTCTCTAATATACTGAAGTGAACTTATATTTACGATTCCGATAACTGTTCCCCTTCCCTATTACATAAATATCAAATGTGAAACATGATCAAGAGATTAAGTGTCAATTACCTTGTTCAGATATGGTCAGAGGCAATCTTTAATTCTGATTTCAATGGCGGCTAAATTTGGGGGTTGGGCTTTTTTGAGTAGGGCAGAAAAATATGCTGAGCAGTAACATTTCTGAAGAGTGAAATCCTTGATACTACTAGAGATACAAGAGATACTACTAGAGTTTTATTTGCCTAGAGATTTGCAAAATCGTAGTTGGTGCTACATGAACCAGCCCTATGCTTGTGAATCTCTCCTTCCATTCTCAAAGCACAAACAATAATTTATTTTTATATTTTGTGTTTGCCCAGCAGATCTGGTTTGCAAGCCATGGTTTGTGCATAGCTTGTAATACCAGTTTGGAGGGCAAGGGGATTTCTGCTGGTTCAGCTGCAACAGCAAACTATTCTGTGCATTCGATGAGAAGCTTATGGCTGTGATAACACGCAGAATTAGCCCCGACGTAGGCGCAAATGCTGGGCGGATTTAAAGGGTGCGATCAGACACAAACATCTGGGAAGCACTCCACACCTGTTGGCAACCCGTTCTGCTCTGCCACAGAAGCAGAGTAAAAAAACACCGGGTAAAATCCAGTAGTAAACAGGTTGCAATGGGCCACGGATGGACTTTCCCCTGTCCGATCGATCCAGCATTCTCTCATGGCATCGGGATGGTTTGATCAGGCCATCCTGACTCCATGCCATTGTTTTTTCCCCCTTCACAGTATGCACATCATTGCAAACTCCATGGGGAGCCCTCAGTGCGGAGATACAATTCCTTGATTCCTCGTTTAAGCGCATCGGAAACAAACAGCAAAAAAAAAAAAACCCCGACTCACCCATGATTGTATCTGATCATGCAGTGGTGGGCTGTACCCGCAGCTTCCAAGGACTGTGTGATCGCACAACTGCGGGTCAAATTCCTCTGGAGGAAATAGCCTCGTTTCCCCCACACACTTTATCTCATGCTGTGACCCCACCCTATATCAGTTATAAAAGAGAAAAGTGCCTGTTTGCATTGTACCAAACCAGAGTCTCATATTGCATTTGAGTCATGTCATGGTCTGCCAAACACTACTCTAGTTCATGTGGATGGGAATTGCACAAGAGCTGGAAAGGGGAAATTGTGGACCTAGATTGGAACAAAACTCAATTCCAAATATATTTGCTAATGAATAGATTTCAATAAATTTAAAGGGCAGGGGCGTCATATAGCACAAGATGACATTCTATAAAGAATCTAGGGCTTATTGTTAGATTCAAGATTTTTCTTAGTACTTAGATTTCATGTTCAGTTGGAAGTATCTGCCAGCTTTCTATGCACAAACTTTAACACCAAACTGCTGGTTATTTGGGCTATCATTGGCTTTAATCTAGCATAAAATTTCTACCAGTTCTACAGCTCTTGCACAAGTGGAAATGCAAGAAAAAGACTATGGTAGCTGCTTGTGCTATGTCCAATTTATTGCATCCCTACCTGCATTTCCACTTGGTGCAAGATCTTGTGGAACTGTTTTCTCGGCAGGAAAGCATTAGGTGTTCGAAAATACCTTGTGCAACAGGAAGTGTGCTAAGTCTTTTTACGTTTCCACTTGCACACTTCTGGTATACTTCTATCCAGTGTTGCCTGCTGCTGTTATTTTTAGTGTGCACACTAAAACATTTAATTGAAAATGGTTGTGGAAGGAGCACTGGTGAGTGGAGGCTCACAGTAGTCGCAAAGAAGGCAATGGATAGTGAGGGACAGCAGGTAGGTCAAACTGCCTTTGCAGTAAATTCAGGACTTATATGAACCTGGAAACAGAGCTTATTCATCAGACTCACCACTTTTATGGAATTATTTTCTTGTACTTCGAATTCAAAGGTTCGGTTTTTGACAACATTTTATATAATGAATACAAGGCATTTCCCCCCCTTGAATCTGTTTCATAACCTGTTGTACCAAGAATGATGATGTTGTTTAACTAACAGCTTCCTAAACTACAATGTTTCAATTAGTGCTTTCATTATTATCAGCGTTCATTGCTTCAAGCCTAGCACGGCACTTTAGTTGTTGCAAAAGTGCATAAATTCAAAGCTTAATTATATTGTGAAAACAGCAATTAAAATGTACTAGCATGACATTGTCAATTAAAGCCATATTCATAAACATCTCATAAAACTAAGTCCTGCAGCTGTAAGGGTTGGCAGCAGTCAGGGTTCCATGACAAGGGACAGTTTGTAATGTAATTTTTCAAAGTATTTTATATTTGACAGTAGGACATAGTATATGCTGCCAGCAAAAAAGAAATACTTTCCATTTCTAAAGATTCTAAAGTCTTCTATAGATCTCTGAAACACTGATATTATCCCAGCATTCTTTTGTTCTTACATCAACACATTATTACTGAATCTCTGGCTTTTCAGAACCATATGCTAACTCAGTAAGATCTGCACATGGAAACAGATATCTTCAAGGGGAATGTTGGCTAGGGATGCCAGCCTCCAGGTGGGACCTGGGGATCCCCCAGAATTACAGCTCATCTCCAGGCTACAGAGATCAGTTCACCTGGAGAAAATGGATTCTTTGGAGTGTGGACTCTGTGGCATTGGACCCCACTGGGGTCCCTGTCCTTCCCAGGCTCCATTCCCAAATCTCCAGGAGTTTTCCAACCTGGATCTGGCAACCCTACACCCCTATCCCCCGCCAGTTGCTGGGGGGACCTGGCAACCCTATATTACCAGATGAGGGAAAGCACTACTGTAGGAGACAAGTGTAGCTCTACATATGGCACCTTCAGGATCAGTTTAAGTCTGCAATGCCTATGCGCTATTTCACCAATGAGCAGCATTTGCTACCCTGATATCACTTAGCCATGAGTTAGTTAGCCAGTTTGGTGTAGTGGTTAGGAGTGCATACTCTAATCTGGGAGAACCAGGTTTGATTACCCACTCCTCCACAATGCAGCTGCTGGTGTGACCTTGGGTCAGTCATAAGTTCATTCAGAGTTGTTCTTTCAAGGGCAGTTCTCCAGAGAGCTCCCTCAGCCCCACCTAACTCACAGGGGAGGGGAAGGGAAAGGGACTGTAAGCCGCTCTGAGACTCCGAGTGAAGGGTGGGATATAAATCCAATCTTTTCTTCTTAGGCTAGGCTGAAATTGCTGAGGATGGATTTGGACTTGATTTTACCATTTTGACCATATTTAAAGGCTAGTTCAAGTTTTATGCATCAGGAACCTTATGTTTTCCCATCTATATACTATAAAGAGAAGTCTCTCCAAACACATATTTAGCATGAACCAAAAAATCATGCCAGTTGCGGCATGTATCCACCACACATTCTTCAGAGTTGAAAGATATAGTTCACCTCTTCACATTTATGCATAGGTAGCAAGCCACCATGTTACAGCTGCTGCTGCTGAATGGAGTGTAAATTACCCTTAATTCTTACTCCATGGTTACACTGATCAAACACACACATAAATATCCTATGTACACAGAGAATCCCATTCATGGTAATGGAGGTAGGTGATCAACATGTATACATGGATCATTGCCTTCCATTGAAATGATGCCTTTCTAATCTGAGGAACTCTGACAGCACATTGGAGCACCTGTGCCAAGAAGACTGGTAGATGGGATAGTCTTTGGTGATTGCCAAGAGATGCCTTTAGAATAGTTGCAGTTCAAGTGCCACATTTTTCCATTTCTATTTTAATGTGCCTACTGAGGAGCAGTCACATGGAAAGGAGTTTTCTATATATTGGAGAGATGCTGTAGTCTTACCTATCAGGGGTCAAATCAGAGGACAGTTATCAGGGCTGTTTTTGTGGTGGTTCTCACCAGTACTGAATACCAGCACTGTTGGGGGGGGGGGCTCTTCCAAGTCCAGAAGGGGGAATTGGTGGAAATTGGGGCAACCTTATATATGAGTATTAGCACCTTTTTCTAACACCCCCCCCGATTATAATTAATGGTACCACCGGCAGGGCTCTTTCTGTAGCAGGAACTCCTTTGCATATTAGGCGACACCCACCCCCCTAATGTAGCCAGTCCTCCAAGAGCTTACAGTAAGCCCCTGTAAGAAGAGCTCTGTAAGCTCTTGGAGGATTGGCTACAGTAGGGGTGTGTCGCCTAATATGCAAAGGAGTTCCTGCTACAAAAAGAGCCCTGGGTACCAGGCCTGTAGTATGAGTTCTAAAACCTGCTTCTTGAATTGCAAAGGCTGCTTAGGAGCTTTTGTGCTGTGGCTGTACATTTATTAATATGGCTTTAATTTTTCTTTCTTTTTCTCATTAATCTCTGCATTTTGTGCATTGTTTAGCAGGATTGCTGGTGCTATTTGATTTTTTTTTTAAATCTGATGTTTACAAACTGTTTCTGTTAACTACCACAGGTTTACACCCTATGAATGGTATAACCCCCACCCGTGCAACCCTGACTCAGATGTGGTGGAAAACAATTTTACTTTACTTAATAGTTTCTGGTTTGGAGTTGGAGCTCTCATGCAGCAAGGTACTCCGGTTACACATCTTTACTGCACACATCCCACAGTCTGCTCAAGGGCTTCTGTGCTGGTAAACTCCACCATGTGTAGCTAGAACATATACTGTAAAACCTGATACAGAAAGGAGACATGCAACTATACCTGTGTATATTCTCAATGAAAGAATAGTTTTGCAGAAGTGAAACTGGCACCTTTTGTGACCCAAAATAAATCTACAAAAGGACTAAGGAAGAAAAAATATGCAACACACATATGAAGTTTTACATCATAATCATGCTTCAGGAAGTGAAATCAAAAGAGCAAGATGGCTTTGATGTTGTTTACATTGAACGTAGGTTATCACGGTAAAATCTTTTCAAGTTTACTCTGTACCATTATAAAACACTAATTGATAGAGCATCTTCTAAATGGATAGCCCAAAAGACATTTTGTTAGAATTATTATTTCCTGAGCATTTGTTAAAAAATTATTGCTTAAACAACCCACTTTTATTCATGGCTTTTCTTCAGGTTTTTAAAGGTTTTTGCCTCTTGTAAATGCCTCCAGCCCTTGAAGCCCACAACGTTCTAACTGCCGTTGAATCTGGAAACCACAGAGATGCTCATTTTACAGTGCAAGGAAATGAGGGGCACTGGAAGTGGAGACTCAGCCTGGTGCATATACTGACAATGTGTATATATGATGTGATTATTCTGAGGCTCCCTGTAATAAGACTTGGCCTCTGTGTGAGGTGTGTGTTCAGAACATACGTTTCATAAGTGTGAACCCCCTCAAAAATAACAACACACTCTAAGTCATAGAAATACATGGCTATCTGAATAAGGTACTACAAATGCAAGAGCATCCCTACGTCAACAAAAGTATAATTTATCATTTCACACAGTGTGTAATACTTGGGAGCTTGGTTAACAAAAAATCTTATAGAGAGCTTGCATAAGTCTGCTAAAATCAGTTGGATTTTGACCATTAATTGAGTCAAGTTAAACTGTGGAACATCAGGCATCTCTTGTGGGAAGGTGAGCATAGAGAAATATACTGATGCACTTCTGTATGCATCAGGTATTTCTCACCTGAGAATGCGTTCCACCGAAGATGGATGGACAGCTTACTTCCAGACAGCCCATAAAGCACATACTAAGGTTTTACAGTATCAGGCAGGTGTGCGTCTACGGCTGTGCCTGCTTTGTGTGTGAGAGTGCCCAAAACGTTTGTGTTTTTTGAGTGGCCTGCCTTCACTGGAGTTTACCACCATCCACAGCAAACTGTGGGATGCCGTGCCTACTAGTTACCACTACCTTGGGTACATGACAGTCAGCCCCAACCAGACTCTGCTTGTCTTTGAAGAAGCTTTAAAAATGAAAACAAAAACAAAACTAATTTGTAAGTTGAAGCGAATGTTTCCATGTACAAACTTGTGGTACGTGTGACTGTAAGTGCTCCCTCATTAACATGTAGAGTTTGAACAAGAGATGAACGGTTGCTAACCTCTGCATCTATTGTTATGCTCTTTCTTGTTAACAGAAGCTGCTTGTTGTGCTTGATTGGAAGCCACTGGTTTATTAAATTTTAAAATGTGATGATCAGACTTTCTCTTTTCTACAGAGCGTGAGCAAAGTCTGGATCAGGATTGGCTGTCATGTCTGCCATATAAAGGCATTAGACTTCAGCAAGTATTGTCTGTGACTCTGGTTCTTGCCAATAGAATTGCTTAGGCCTTATTTCCCCACCCTCCTTATTTTAAGCCCTCAATCCAGATACAGCTTCTTTTGAAACATTATACACTTAGCAGATTAATTGGAAATATATGGAAAACTGTTGCATAATGGCCATGCTCCCCCATCTAATGACAAATTGCCCTGATGCATGTTGCTGTCTACGGTAAGCTATCCTAAGTAATACTTAGAATGCAATCCAATGCACATTTATATGACACTAAATCACACTGAACTCAGTGGAGCTTGTTTCTGAGGGGAGAAGGGCATATGATCAGACTATTAGACATATTCTCAATGTTCAGAAACTTGTAAAAAATGCTGTATCAGGTGGGTTATCTCATGGGGTCTAACATTCAGAATATGTTTTCCACAAGTTTCTGAACTCTGTTTCACCTACAGAGCTCCTTGCTCACAAATGTCATTCACTTCAGTGAGATGGACAAACAGCTGTACATACATGAAATCATGCATGTGTAGAACTCCCCTCCCCCTCAGAAATTGGAATGGGGAAAACTGCACATACAAGATTGCCAAGT